TGGAGAGGAGAGCAGCCAGCCTGGGTGCTCCGCATTCATCAGGCTCACCCCAGGGCTGGCACATCCCTATTTCCATCTCCAGCTGCTCCCTGGCCCTGCCCAAGGCTGCAGAGAGCGGGGACCGCTCGCTGCCCGGGGAGGACGGGTACCCTGGGCTGGGGCACAGCCTGCAGCAGTGGGACGGGCTCCCTGGGACCGTGGGAAACAGCAGACCCTGGGCTGGACCGGCTGCCAGGTCCCATCCCTCGCACCGGCCTGCTTGCTGCTGGGTGCTGGGGCTGCTCACCGGTGTGCACGGCTGCACAGTGCCGTGCATTGGTGCCTGCCAGCATGGGCAGCTGCAGGATGCCATGCGTTGGTGCCTGTCGGCATGCACGGCTGCGTAATGCCGTGCGTTGGTGCCTGCCAGCATGCCTGGCTGCACGATGCCGTGTGTTGGTGCCCACCAACGCGCACGGCTGCATGGTGCTGTGCATTGGTGTCCACCGGCGTGCACAGCTGCACAACACCCTGTGCTGGTGCCCACCGGCGTGCACAGCCGCACGGTGCCGTGCGTTGGTACTTTCCAACATCCAGCGCTGCCGGCTGGGGAGCACGCGGCCGAGCAGACCCCCTGCCCCAGCTCCTGTGGGAGGCAGGGAATCGGCTAACAGGCCCCTCGGGGCTCTTCCCCAGCTTCCACCCGGGAAAAGTGACGCGCAAGCTGGGGCAAGCGATTTGGGGGTTGCTGGTGCCCAGTGGGGTCACAAACTCCGACCCCTGCAGTGCTGCCGGGGCAGCACGGGACTGGGTGCCACAGGCAAGCCGGGCTTTATCAGCCGGTAGCAGCTGCGCTGGTGTGTCACCCCAGCGGGGACCGTGCCGGGGGTTAAACCCTCCGGTGTGACAAATGGGGGGCTCGGGGTCACACGGGGGTGTGCGGGGTCCGGCATCCGCTGGCCCCGGGAGGCAGGGTGGGGGACGCCCGCTCCCGCCAGCCAAGGAGAAAATACTAATCCTTTTATTTTTATATTATTACTTATTAATCTGGGCTGCACAGGCCTAATGGAAACCAGATGGAGGAAAACAGACACAGCCCTGAGCGGCTGGGACAAATTACCCCAAAAAAAAAAAAAAAAAAAAAAAAGAAAAAAAAAAATTCCAATGGCGTTTCGAGTCGTGTTGGGGAGTTATTTTTTGGAGGTGCTGCCGGGAGGCTGCACTGTGCCTCCCAAAACCCCCTTCGCCCACCACGGAGCTCGTCCCATCCTGCAAAGGGCCTGGGCTGGTGCCGTGGCCGCGGCCGGATCCTGCGGGCATCCCGGGCTCTGTTTGTTTTGGGCATTTCTGGGCTCGGGTGCTGAGAAATCCCATCAGCTTTGGGGCCGTCCCTCGTCCCCGTGCCCGCGCAGCGGTGTTCGGGTTGCAAACACCTCGGGAAAAATTTATGACTTCGAGAAAAAGAAGGAAAAGACAAGAAAAAGCACAGCCAGGCCCCATTTCCCCGGGTGTTTGCTCAGCTTTCTGGAAACTTTCCTCCCGATGGGAAGTTGTGGAAAAGCCGTGTCGGTGCCAGAACGAGTGTATCCGTGTTTTCCCCTCAGTGTGGGCATACGTATAGAGTCAGGACAGCAGATGGGGATGGGAACAGGGATGCTGGCAGGGAGAGAGTCATAGAATCGTTTAAGTTGGAAAAGACCCTTAAGGTCATCAGGTCCAACCGTTAACCCAGCACTGCCAAGTCCACCACTAAACCACGTCCCTGAGCACCACGTCTGCACGTCTTTTAAACACCTCCAGGGATGGTGACTCCACCGCTTCCCTGGGCAGCCTGTTCCAGCGCTCGACAACCCTTTCGGTGAAGAAATTTTTCCTAATATCCAATCTAAACCTCCCCGGGCGCAGCTTGAGGTCATTTCTCCTTGTCCTGTCGCTTGTTACTTGGGAGAAGAGACCGACCCCACCTCGCTACAACCTCCTTTCAGGTGGTTGTAGAGAGCGATGAGGTCTCCCCTCAGCCTCCTTTTCTCCAGGCTAAACAACCCCAGTTCCCTCAGCCGCTCCTCATCAGACTTGTTCTCCAGACCCCTCACCAGCCTCGTTGCCCTTCTCTGGACACGCTCCAGCACCTCGACGTCCTTCTTGGAGTGAGGGGCCCAAAACTGAACACAGTATTCGAGGTGCGGCCTCACCAGGGCCGAGTACAGGGGCACGATCACTGCCCTGCTCCTGCTGGCCACACTATTTCTGATACAGGCCAGGATGCCATTGGCCTTCTTGGCCGCCTGGGCACACTGCCGGCTCATGTTCAGCCGGCTGTCGACCAGCACCCCCAGGTCCTTTTCTGCCAGGCAGCTTTCCAGCCACTCTTCCCCAAGCCTGTAGCGCTGCATGGGGTTGTTGTGGCCGAAGTGCAGGACCCGGCACTTGGCCTTGTTGAACCTCATACAGTTGGCCTGGGCCCATCGATCCAGCCTGTCCAGGTCCCTCTGCAGAGCCTTCCTACCCTCCAGCAGATCAACACTCCCGCCCAACTTGGTGTCATCTGCAAACTGACTGAGGGTGCACTCGATCTCCTCATCCAGATCATCGATAAAGATATTGAACAAGACCGGCCCCAAAACGGAGCCCTGGGGAACACTGCTGGTGACTGGCTGCCAACTGGATGTAACTCCATTCACCATAACCCTCAGGGCCCGGCCGTCCAGCCAGTTTTTGACCCAGCGAAGAGTACGCCCATCCAAGCCATGAGCAGACAGTTTCTCCAGGAGAATGCTGTGGGAAACGGTGGGAACAGGGATGCAGGCAGGGATGGGGATGCAGGCAGGGACCGTGCCGGGGATGCAGGCTGGGGCGAACATCTTGCAGCCTGCAGCCTCCTCCCTCCCTGCAAGCAACGGCAGAGCCAAACCCGCCGACACAGCCCCTCCGCGCTGGGAGCCGCACAGGCAGCTGGTGCAGGTGCACTTACCCAGGCAAGCTGCCACGCTGTCCCCAGGCTGCCGCGGCTTGTCCCCACGCCCAGCGGCTGTTGCGTGGAGAGCCGGGGCCTCGGGCTGAGCACGTGGGCGGTTGCAGCGTTGCAGACGTGAAGAGTGCGTTGCAATGCCTCACTGCGCCGTGCTCGGTGTGCAATGCCAGCCAGCGCCCCGTGGTGCGAACCCCAGGCTCAGAGGGGGCAAGAAGGGTGAGGGGATGGCATCGGTGCCCACGCAGAGCCCTGCATCACGGGGAGGTGCTGGCCCTGCCTGCTGTGGGCAGGAGCCGGCAGGCAGAGGCAATGCAGGTCATGCTTTGCTGAGCTGGGCGGAGGGCAATTCCCCGGGGGATGCCAAGCCCAGGAGGGATTGTGTGGGCACCCAGTGGATCAAGGCGCTGCGGCTGCACAGATGCAGCCACCCAGTCTGGGTCACGCTCTGTGCACGCTCGCGGCTCGTCCTCTGCTGTCGGGGCTGGATCCTGCTCCGCTGGTTGACGGGAAGGCTGGAGAAGCCTTGCCCAGAGATGGGCATGTCCATGAAAAGGAAAATAAAAGGTGTTTTTCAAAACACACCGTTTATTTTGGCAGGCCCTGTAAAGAAACCGTAGTTTTACGCGGAGGGATGCTGCTTGGTCTTGGGGTTTCTCCTGAGGCTGGAGTGGAAGAAGGGGACAAGGAAAGAGAAACGGGAGCATGCACATCCAGGCGTTTGCAGATCATGGTGCACCCCGGGAGGCTCAAACCCCAGGCGTGGGGATGTTCCCATGGTGCCGGAGCCATCCGGGAGGATGCTGTGGGACCACGGTGTTGACCGCCCGGGAGTTTGGCCCTTGCCGCTGGCTCTCCCATCTCCCGGTCCTCCATGCACGGCGGCGGCTGCGGCACAAGCCCCGATAGCATCTTGCTCGGGATGAGGCCCCGGTTTTATTTAGCCCGGACAATGTGCTCTTGCAGGGTTCAATTAATCTCACAACAGTTGCAGTGGATTAAGCATGCATATTAGATTAGTGTTTATCAGCCGTGCCTGATGGGGACCGTGTCGGGGCGCAGCGGGGACCCCAGGGCCGGGGGGCAGCCGTGGCGGCCGCTTCCTTCTTTGGCTGAGGCCGCTGGCAGCGTGGGCTCGGGCACCCTGATGGACCACCGCAGCTGCCCACACTTGTGGCCACCCATCACGGCAGCCGTGGGGCCGAAACCTTGCACCGGGGCCACGCCGCCGCCGCCATCCGGAGGGGACGGTGCTGGCAGCTTCTCCCGGGGATGCCGCTGCCGGGTGTTATTTGGGGTTGCAAGTGCAGGGCGGTGGGAGGGAGGCAGCGATGCCTCGGGGGAGCCCAGCATGGCGATGGCAGGGAGCCCCACGCTCCACGGTTTGCAGGATCTGGCGCATCGCAGGACTCCCCGGGGCCACGGGAGGACAGCCACCGGTGGGTGCGGGGGTCCTGCCATCACTGCTGCCACCGAGCACCGGCCGTAACGAAACCACGATTTACTGCCTGTGCGTAACCCCTGCCTGGGATTACGGCAGCCCTGCGCATAGCTGCCGGGGACGGTGAGGGGTTAGCGGGCAGCCGGGGATTCCCAAGACGTGGGCAGGTAACTGCTGGCAGGAGGGTGCCGGGACGTGACAGCGATGGCTTTGCAGGGACACACGCGCTGTTCTTGTGCTGGGCTGGGCTGTGCCCCGTGCGTGGGGCGGAGCTGGCACTGCGGGGGCAGAGCGGTGCCCTGCCCTGTCCCCACCGCCCTGCATCCACACCGGGCCCAGGGCATCGTCCCCACCGTTGTGCAGATGCATAGGAGGTCAGTCACCATCCCCACCGTCCTGCAGGCACACAGGACGCCAGGCAGCATCCCCGCTGCCCGAGCTCTGCCGGGGCGAGGGTTGCTGCCATCCTGCACCGGGGAGCAGAGATGCCCAGGCCAACCAAAGTCCCTGAGGGTCCCCTCTGCCCCCGACCTGACCCTTATTCGGAGGGGAAGCGCAGCACTGCCCGGCACAACCCCGCTCACCACCCCTCTGCCCTCTCCCCGCAGATAACGTGGAGACGCGGGCCGCCACCATGCCCGACTCGCCGACCGACGTGAAGACGCAGTCCAGGTCCACGCCGCCCAGCATGCCTCCGCCGCCGCCAGCCATCACGCAGGGAGCCACGCGCCACCCCTCCTTCACGCCAAACACCAGTGAGTACCAGGCTGCCGGCGGGGACGGGGACGGCACACCAGGCAGGGATGCTGCCCGGCTCCCTTCGCCTCCGGGTCACACATTGCACCCGGGACCGGCCGCATCCTCAGCCCCCGGCATGGTGCTGGCTGCACTGTGGGGTGGTATTACCCATCCTTGCACTGGAGAAGGGTTCTGGGCGGCGCGCCCCGAGCCCTGCCTCATACATGTGCCTGTGGGGAGCACTACGGCACTGCCCATTGCCAGCAGTGCCCTGCGAGGTGCTCGGGGACGGGGACGTCCTGGTCTTCTGCTGCATGGTCACAGAACGGTGGCACAGAGCAGCGCGTGGCCCTGGACACTCTCGCCTGCAGATGGAGGATGCTGCGGGCTGGGGGAGTCCCTGTAGGTCGGAGCTGGCCCCGTTGGGGGTCCCGGGCACATGGGGACCTGCCTGCCCGTCTGTGTGTGGTGCCCGGCGGTGGCAGGGGAGTGTCATGGCCAGTCATGGTGGCAGGGGTGTCCTTGCCCTGCCCAGGCCACGGCATGGTGGCATCAGGGGGACTTGGTGGGGACTCAAGGTCTCTGTAGCATCGTTGAACTGGGGGAGCCCCAACGCACAGGTTGCACTGGTGGCACACGGGCTCGTTGCATGCCTGCAGGGCTTGCACCGGGGATCGGTCCCTGTGCCGGTGTCACCGTCCCGGCACGTGGCTGGACAAGGCACATGTGGGGCAGGATCCGGGCGGGCAGGGGCCGAGGCTGGTCCCCCCAGCAGGACCGGCAGTGGCCGTAGCGAGGGTTGCTCCAGCTCCTCCGAGATGTATCCCAGGCACGTGCGCACGCAGGGCTTTTGCTCATAGCTGCTTCTTGCTTGGAAACCCCAGCGGGGAAGAAAACACCCCTAAACCAACCCCCCAGGCCCCTCCCAGCCGCTGCGCCCTGCCATGGCCCTGCCGCCCTCCCAACCAGATGCTCTCTAATTAGAAATCGGCTTGCGCTCGGCTGCACTCTGAGAGGTTTTGCTTTTTAATCCGAGCCCTGAGGCGGATGCGGCATCCTGGGTTCGGCTCGGTGCAGGATGCGGGGCCGGGGGTGCAGGCAGCCTCTCTGCCGTGGCTTGGCCCAGGGCGTGACGGTGTTTCGGTTGTTCTTGGTCTCGGGGAAATGTTGCAAACCAACCCCTTGCGCTGGGGCTGTGCAGGGGTGGCCCCGAAATGCGGGGACCGTGTTAGGCAGCCGAGCATCCCCTGAGCCCTCCCTCCGGCTGCGTCGGGATGCAGGGACCTGGCTCCATCCCTGGCACGCCTGGGTCGGGGCGGCTTTGCCTGCGGCACGCGTGCCCCTGCTGTGCCCGCCGTCGAGGAGCGTTGCCTGCAGGGACCCCCAGCAGAGAGCTGCCCCCTCTGCTCTCTCATCATAGCGTGTTTTATTTTGCTTGCAGATCGTGACGCTGGCCCTCCGACGTTTCTGCCTCGCGGCCGTTTTCATGGTTGCTTGAAATGGTCGATGGTCTGTCTTTGTAAGTAGCGTCCCTGCTCAAGAGAGACCGGAGCCGCAGCCGCAGCCCCCCCGGGAGGCGCAGGGTCCCGCAGGGGGCACGGTGCTGCCGTGGGGGGCTTGGGCAGGGTGCGCTCCCCCGCGCCAGCCCCTCGCCCTGCCCCGGTGGGTCACAGGGATGCGAACCCCAGCCCCGGCCCGGCCGAAGGGACATGTGCAGCGTCTAACTTAGTAACGCACCTGTCGCGGGAATAAAAGCAGTTGTGGCCACCGGGTTATTTTCGGCACCTCTTTAGCGGGCGGCTGATACTGCCCGGCTGTAGAGCGAGCTGGAGCCCGCCAAAGCAGGCAGGGCAGGCAGGGAGGCACAGGCACCACAAGGTTAGTGCGATCCCAGGAGCTGGGTGCCCGGCACGCCGCGGAGAGAGGCGCGGTGCATGCCCGGGTGCCGCGGAGCAGCGCGCGGTCGGGAGCTGGGGTGACGTGTGCCGTCACCCTTGCTGGCTGCGGAAAGGTCCCTGCACTTGCGCGGTCTGCGCAGAGGGCTGGCGCAGGAGCGAGGGACCCGCCACGCTGCCAGTTGGCACCCTCAGACGTCCCCTCCTGGGTCCCCTGGCGCGGGGTGCTCCGGGCAGCTCCCGTTCTCCCCGTCTGGGCAGCGGGGCCAGAGGCACTGGCATGCTGCAAGCCAGGCTAGGCCCCGTGGACAACGGCTCGTGGCTTCTCCCTGGGGGGTGCTGAGCAGCTCCCAGAGGGGCAGGATGGAGCCCCTTCTCTTGGCTGCCTTGAACGTCGAGGAGCAGGATCAGGCCCTCGCTGTGCTGGGGCACGCACTGCATCCCATCCCTCCCTGCAGCCCGCATCTGCGCCCCACGGTGCTGGGGACCGGCCCAGGATGCGGCCCCAGGGATGCAGCAGCATCCCGAAGCCTCCCGGGGAGTGCCAGCCCCACGGTACCCGGCAGGATGCTCCGGTCCCCCCATCCCAGCCCTGTCCCTGTGGTGCCAGGGTACGGCCGCCCGCTCTGACCTCCCGTCCCCCTCTCTCCTCGCAATGATGAACGGGAGCAGCCACTCGCCGACC